ACACACACACACACACACACACACAGACAGCGTTTCTTGTTGTCGGCGTTTCCTGCCTTGTTCGATCTAGACGAACAGCTGGGAGAACAATGGAAAATGCATTTTGTGCATATGCAGACTGACTAGTGGCTGCTATTTCATATTAGATGTGCTACCTGTATGTTACCTTCTACAGGGCCCTTCACCTGACCTCTATGGCCGTGTTCCCATCATGCAACGGGATAGAGCTGCTGCACACTCCTGCATCCCGCCAGATACGCAGACGATCAATAGGTTTGTAAAAGTGTTATCCATCCGACTGTCACAGCACATCCTGTAAGAAAGTCAACAGTGGAACAGTGAGCAAGACTGGGGAATCTAATTGTAGGTTCTGGTTTTCCGGCATTTGGTCATAAGATGTAGTGCTGCGCTGTTTATTTTATAGTACAACATTGGCATCAACAGAAGAAACACCATGGACTTTTTACGGAAAACATATTTATTAAGGATAACAAAAGGTTTAAATTTTAGCACAAGAACTCAGGTTATTGTATTTAAGAATATTTATATAAAGAAGCACAAATTGAACAGCTAAACCAACATGATTTGTACAGATATTTAAAACTGTAACGTGTGGCCCAATGTCTTGCAGACAGTAATTAGCATGGAGAGGGAAGTGCTTGAAGATCCACACTTCATATCAAAACCTTGTTCTCAGGCATGTGCCGTCCAGTGCATTGTGGGAAGGCACTTCTCATTTCCTACTCTTCACAAGCTGCTTTGTCATGTACCTGATCAAACTGAGCATGTGTCATAAGCATGTCCCATTTGTTGGCTTGTAGTTTTAAAAACATGCCACAGCAAATGTGTTCCGTCTGCCAGGTTGAATGTTTTGGAAAAACACCAGGCAGACTAAACCAGGAGAAACCCCAAGGTCTTTTATAAACGGGTTTCCTGCTGCAAGACATGAGTCTGCAGGGGGTAACTGCAGGCTGGTACACAAGCGACTGGGGCAGGGCCTACTGGCGGAATGCCGCACTGGTCCGTAGCGAGGCACTGGCTGCCCGCTCCCGCTCGCTGGCCAGCTCCATCTCGATCTTAGCCTGGATCTTCTCCCAGTCTACCTCCACCTACAGGGACAGCAAAACAGGCCACCACCAGTTGTCATGTGCTGTTAGGCTGGTTCCTTAAAGCAGTTAAATTATGGAATGAAAATACAAGTGAAAATACACATCTATCATTAAAAAGTCAATAAGAATAATTTGAAATACCCAACTGAAAGGTCGGAGTAGCAAAGATATGATTGTTGAACAAAATACAAAAAAAGAGTACAGTTTTCTCACTTCTTACTTTCTCTTTCCATCTTGAAAGCAAACTATGTGAGCTACGCACAAGAATTCCAAAGTATTTGTACTGCCCTATACCTGTGGGAATGGCAACAAAGTCTGTCTGTCTATCTAACATTATCTACATGAGCAGATGTGCTGGTTTCCCTACGTACCCCCTCTGCATACTGCAGGAACCTCTTGTTGGTCTCCTTCTTGCCGAAGTCCTGCAGGTACCTCTGTCGGTATGCAAGCACGGTGTCCACGTGCGTCTTGTGCTTCACTGCCAGCTCCAGTGCCCTTATAGAGAGGGTTCGTCACATGGGCACCTTCTAAACATGCCTGATGGGCAATCAATGACAAGATGAGAGTAGGCATGCTCACCTGTCCCAGTTATAGAGGCTGATGTTCACCTGGATGGCCTGGTAAATGAGGCCGGCCTGCAGGAGCAGAGACTCTGCCTCCTGCACATAACCACTAAATAGCAGAATGTGTGCCAGAGAGGACTCCTTTGAAGGAAGCTCTTTTATTGAGTTGATGTACTGGACCTTGTCCACCTATTGAAAGCGAAAGATGAATAGTATTATTCTGTGTGGATTTTTAATCGTTCTATTTATGGGACTTTATGGGAACTAAGGAACCACATTTCAGATGAAAAGGAGCACGGAGCGGCTGTACCTCTCCGACGGCTGCATAGGCCACCTCTGCCGTGTTCAGCTCCTTGTTGGCCATCGCCATGGCAGCCAAGCTCGCCCAGAGGGTTTGGTCCTGTGGGATTTATGGATAGCACCATGAATAACCGACAGCGCCCCCTAGTGCTGCTGCAGCTACAGCCTTATACACTTAGGAGGTCAAGTCCCACAGAGACAGGCTGACAGATGGACAAACAGACAGAAAGACAGGCAGGTAAATAAAGTGACCTCTTTTAGCATAAAACCACTACATTACTAATGCAGCAAATCAAAACAGACGGGTCACGGCGTGGTGTGACAGTCCGATATGATGGGGGCACTTGTCTGCAAATTCTTAAACAGGATGTTTGTGGCATCCGTACCTTGCCCCCCCCAGGAGATGTGGCGTAATGTGTCGTTTCCTTCCCTGTCTCATTTTATCGACGTTACAATCCGCCGTGTGTTTGCGAGCCAGTGGAAAGTTTGCTCGGGGCTCCTGTTTGGTTTACATACCGCCAAACAAAACAATAACAAAAGGAGGCCAGAAAATCTACATGCGGCAAGGAGTCCGGCAGCCTAAGTGGGCCCCTCCAGCAGCCTCTCCCCCCGTCATGGTGCTGTGGCATTTAAACCACGTTTGCATGTTGCAATATTTGCAATGGGCTATGTAAATAAACACTGTGATGTGCATTATCTCTCCTGGGATGAGCCTGCGTTGTATATATACACAGCAGCGGTTTCGACGGTAAACGGACAGAGAGGTCTGCACTTGGACAGGTCATCAGAGGCGCCAGGCCGGCGGCGGGTTGGGTGCTCCGTCACGTGATTAAACCACTGTGACCACAAACTGGGTATAGGAGGTCCAGCCCCAGCCAGAGCAGAGCAGGTTATTAGGCAGTCTGACGCCATTACGCTGGTGCTGGGGGCAGGCGGCTGTTTGTGACATCAGAGGATGGAGAGGCAAAGCTGCCAGCAGGGGAGCCGGCATACGTCTGACAGCATGTTCGCACCAGCACCAAACCGCAAAATATTACATTTAAGGGGTCAGGTCTCGCTATTTTTCATTTCCCAGACAAAAAAGGCCACAGTGAAATGTCACACAGGGTAGTTGTTCCCGTCTCAGCCGCTCGTAAGTGAAAGCGTCGCGCACCAGCTAAAATCTGCGGTAGCTGCCGAGATAATCGTGGCGGGGGCTGTTCGGGGGCCCTGCCGTGTTTTCCATCCATGTGGCCGGGGATGGGGTGGCCCCGGTGACCCCTCCCCCCAGGAAAACCCACACCTACTGGAAGGCCTGCCCGCTTACCAGAAACGGGCACGCTGAGCTGCAGGCATTTCCTAAAAGCAGTGGGGCAGGCTGGGTTTCTGGCACGCCGCCCCCCCCCCCCGCTCTCGAAACGACATGCCAGGCTGCGGTTGTTGCATCATAAACGAGTGAGTGCATAGGAGATCTCTGTGGATCAGGGCTAAATAACAGTAAATGGTGTCACACAGGCTAATTAAAAAATTTAAAACCACCAGCTTCAGCTCAATAAAGCTCTATTCTTCTTTGCTGTAGTTCATGAATATTTGCTCTCCAAAGCATTTTATTACCTTGTATTTAAAGGTTCCACCGTATAATAAATACTATGTACATATATCTATATATATATGGTAATGTAAATTGATAACAAAAATACGGCCCTCGTCATGAATTTACCCCCCCCCCAGCTCCTGCTCTCCTTGAACACAGGGCCCATTATGCATTTGCGCAGCGTATCCTGCCGCAGCCTCATACGTATCAGAGCAGGACCAGTTAGAGCTATCGGAATGATTTAAACCAAGGCCAGCCAGCCTGTGTAAAGCTATACGGGGCAGCAGGGGCGCTGGTGGGATGGAAGTGGCAGGATGGGGCCGGGGGGGTCTTAAGCACAGGTGCATGAGGTGGAGGGCAAAGTGAGCGGGCAGAGGGGCAGACACTGTCCCATGAATGTGAGCACAAGCACCCCTTTGATCCACAGGGGCTCCTGGGTAACTTGCACTTCTTGTCCCTCCCTGGCTCACACTGCCTGCTGCTTCATGTGTAATTTGGCTCCACTAATTACAGCTAAATGGAAATCATTACTGCTTCCCTCTGATAATGTGATGCCATCGCATGCAATACTGAACACTTCTCATCTGGAGCCTTTTCCCATAATGCTAAATTTCTGCATCTCTTCATACTGCCCTCCTGGGGTTGGTTTATTATTAATAATATTAATATTAATATTTGGTTTAATACTAAACTTAGGGTTAGGTTTTTCACACCCCACTGCGAGGACAGAACCGGGCTATAGACCTTTGTACAGATGCAGTATTTGTGGAACGCAACTATGCATCACGCGATAC